CGCCCTAGGGTCTAGGATCAGAGGTATTACTGTACTCGCAAACCTCCAGGACAACGAACTGTCGACATAGCGATGGGTTCACCAGCTGCATGAGGACACTAGGTTATATCCTGCAATCAGAACTCGTTTTTTCCTATATATCTTCACATATCCATGAGTACTTCGGTGCTGTAGGTAGCGATTGAATAACCACCGTAGGTGAGAAGTATTCTCTGGTACAGCCTACATTCCGCACAAAGGATTCCCTTGTCAGCGGTCAAAACCCCGTCAAACACGGAGCTCAACAAGAACAGTAGAAGTGTGACGCGTCATGCGCGCATGAGCCCTCCGACTGCTTCACCTACGCAGCGCATCCTATTGGACAGCCAATCACAAGCGCCCACAAACTCTGCGATCACCCGATTAACTCACTAATTTGAGGCTGACTGACCATCGCATAACGTTTATTCATCCATGCTCACATCACCATAACGAACAGAGGCGTGTGCAGGCCCGGAGCCGATCGCTCTGACTACCAAGGCGACTGATGCTGCTGTCTTTTCCCTCCTCCTCCAAAGCGAGACTGAGACATGAATATTTGAGCCTTCAGAGTACGCTCGCCGTTTAGATAGAATAGTATCAGTAGTAGCGACAATTAAATTAGTAGTATCAAAAGCTTCAGAAGGAATCCTACTTTGGGTGCCGGAAGTTGCTTAAATGATCCATCGCTTTCGCAACAAAACGGCGTACCATGAATAAACACAGAAATTTACGCAAATTTCTTACTTACTTATAGGTTATTGGGTGTTACAAATTCGGACATTTTTTACCTATTTGTACTTTATTGTTTATTGGGCTTCTTGATATCCCTGAAAAAATGGTGGTTAGGAAGTCGTCTACTTCAACTTACTTGAGGTCTAACTTACTGTTCTGGTGTTATATTAGTATAGTTCGCAGCGCGAAGCGCCGCGCACACCTTAAGTTTACATGCACGACAACTTTATGTTTCTTTTATTTGGTTTATTTAACTTATTTATAAGGAAGTTCAGTTTAGTTTCCAGTTCATTATTATATTTACTATTTTTAGTTTTAGTTTTGCATTATTTTTTCATTAAGTGAGTTTACATTACTTTAGTTTACGCATTTTAGTCAGTTGATTTCAGTCTTAGTTAGCTATTTTTTAATTGAGTTAATTCCGTTTATTTCCATAATAGTGCATTTTAATTATGGCGCGCTTTTTGTTGAGAAACATTAGATTATTTAAATAATTATTCCTGATTTTCCTAGTTTTATAGAATTTATTTTTATTTATATTACTTTTCCTTTGTATTGCCCAGACTTATACTCTTTAGTACACCCGGTCCTGTAGTACAGAGGGGAGGGGCTTTCGCGTGCTGATCAGGGACCTAAAATAGGATTCTGCCAAGCTTTATTAGTAGTCATTGTAGTAACGAACCCCGAATGTGAAGGAAAAGCTCCGAAAATGCCGTTGTCGTAAGTAAGTACATATCAAGGTCTATTGCATGCCCTTCGGTTTATATATTACGTTTATTCCTTTACGATATCTTCTTTTAACTCCGTGTTGCAAAAATTCTCAAAAACTGCTATGTTCACGAATCCATCAGGGCTAGAAAAGTACGACACTACTTTATGGCAAGGAGAAGTGCAGAAGAAAATTTGCGCTGTCTGCGAACTAATTCCATCTGCGGAGAGGTGGCCGGTCAAGTTATCTTACCGTAAAGTACCATAAATTACTGCATTCAGCCAACCACAGAAAAGGTTACTTCCCGCGTGCTCATTGGTCGACTTCCATCTGCCGAAAGGCCAATCACACGAGAAGGGCACTTAGCCAATCCAAAAAATCATCTCACGAAACCGAAACGAATTGTTCTCGCCCGGAAGTAGCTAACGGGCGACTGGAGCAGACAGCATAGGCACAAAAATTGACGAGCTTAGCCTCCTACAGAAGTCTCGTTGGTTTCATAGTGGTTTTCGGTGTTTACACAATGTTTGTTTGCATCCCGGCAGTACTGTGGAGACCTGCATAAAAGCAGCCTACAGACGGAAATGACAGCTAAAAATGTCAACATCAATCGAGGCCAGATACAAGCGCCTAGAGTGGCATCGCGACAGCAGCTACATACAGTACGGCCTAGAATTCGTGTAACATGCCGACATATGCGAAAGATTGATACTCTCTTCCTAATCGGCATTGAGTAAAGCTGTAACACCAATTATCGTGTAATCTATTCTGAAGTCATTTCAGTCACGATAGGATGCCGGCGTTCTGACGAGCTTCTTTCTGACCGCTAACAAAAAGTAGGTACTGTAAAAAGTGGCTACTTAAGTAGCATGCATGTTTCTCATTGATTTTGACTGCCTTTATAAATTCAAATATATTTTACGGAAAACAGGCAAGAAAAAATATTTCTAGTAGTTGTTTGATAGCAAATTATATTCGGCGATTTAGAAGCTTTTTTAAAGCCGAAAGATACCCTTTCTCGAAGCCCAAAATTTAAAGGTGTAATTTGCTACCAAAAGAGTGCAAGAAATGATTTTTTCGTGTATGTTTTCCATAAAATATATTTGAATTTATAAAGGCAGTCAAAATCCATAATAAAATGCATACTACCTAAGAAGGCACTTTTTACAGCACATACGTTTTGTTGGCGATCAGAAAGAAGCTCGTTAGAAAACCGACATCCTATCATGACTGAAATGACTTCAGAATAGACTACACGAAAATCAGTAGTACAACCTTACTCAATGTCGACCGGCTAAAAAGTATTAATCCTTCGTATATGTGGGCATGTTAAACGAATTCTAGACCGTACTGTACTCCCATATGCAGCAGACACCCTCTCAGTGAAGACAGTGAGGTTGTCGATAATAACCCACCGAAGGCGATTGTCATTCGAGAACACCGGAGACTTGCGCGCGAATCAGGTAGAGGGGCTTCTCTGAAATCGACAAAGCTATTTGGCCAGCACCAGTCCCAAACTAATGGAATGACCGGCTTTGGCAGTGCTGGCCTGCCATAAAGCCGCAGTATGCGGGTACTCTCTTTTCCCAGTTCTCTTCAACTTCTTAATCGACTGGGTGATACACCAATCGATGCTACCTGACAGTGGATGTGAAATGAGCTCTGAATTCAGAGTACCTGACCTGGAGTATGCTG